TTTCAAATATTTTTAGCATGGTTTCCACTGCTTTTGCTTTTGTTCTCTGTCCTGTTCTATCCCCTCCTCAAAAAATAACTTAAATCTTTTGGCCAGTTTCAGTGACAAGAAAGATCTCGCAGACAGCTGACTTAATCCCAGTTGCATGAAAATTAAGGGCTTGGTGGAGACGATAAATCCAGAGATTTCCTCTGCTTCAGGCAGGGATTGCCAAGGAAGTTTGGCTGGTTCCTCAGTGAGCCCAGCCAAGCAAAGATCTGTGGTCTGCACACACAGAACCAGCGCAGCGCTGGCTTCCTTCTGCTCCAGCAGGAGCTGGAGGGCAGAAATAGCAGCTAAGCTGCTCCTGTGCAAGGGGACCCTGGGGAGGGCCCTGGGGCAGTGGCCTCGCTGGGAGGGGTGAGGTGGGGAAGGTGGGAAGAGAAGACAAGCCTGCAAGGAATCAGGATTTATGAGTTCCTCTGTGTATGGCTGTGGAGAGCTGGGGCCATATGCCTGCCCTGGAAGACTTGAAATTATTTTTCCTGTTGAAAAAAAAGCCAAAAAGCCACAACTTTCCCTTCCATGTAGAAGACCCATGTAACCAAAGAAATACTCAGTGAGGGAATGAGCCAGATGAGCTGAATACAGAGTTCTACCATGGAGAAATTAGGTGCTGTTGCAAAAGGGAATATTCTTTGAACTGCTGCTATGGTTGTTGGTGTTAGCAGTCAGCTGCAGGTTAGCTGAAAGTAAAACAAATTCAGGAGGGTAATTAAAGAATGAACTTCTCCACCATGTGCAGTTCCCCAGGAGAAGTGCAGGGACTGGCTGGGTTGTTGCATAACAACACACACAGGATTCAGACAGTTGAGGTCAGTTGTTTTCGCTGGCCCGTTCTGTCCGTGGAAAGAAAGAATGTAGTGAGTGTACTTCATCTTTTTTTTAGGCTTGCTAAGGGACCTTTAAAACTTTTCTTATAAAACATGGTTTATACCATTTTTTCATCCTCCCCTTCAGCGTCCCACCTCCTCAAAAAATAAACCCAGCTCTTTCCCTCTAAGGTCTGCTGTACCCTGCCTGCTCCATCACTTGCTACGAAACTACTGATGTTGCAGAGGAAGCATCCCCATGTCCTTGCAGAGGGAACAAGAGTTTTCTGGCCTTCTGCTCTAGGTCTGTGTGCTTTTATGGTGTTATTGAAAGACCACCACCTTTTTCTCAGTTCAGGGCTTTTTTCCCCCTCGGTTCCCTGGATAAATGTAGTGCCATGAATAAAATAAACACTGCTGTCAGTCTCTCTGCATATTTTTTCAGTGTGCTTCATTATACAGGATTCTTTCAAAAGAAATGTAACTCACAGTCTTGGCTGGTTCCCAGCACCATTAAAGGTCTGCTGGCACTTTTCTTAAGAATCTGGCATTTTGCTTCTCTTTTTTATAGAAATTCATTTCACCTTCTGCTCTGTAGAATGTCTGCTGCCCTTTAGCCCAGCTGTGGCTGCACAGTAACCCCTCTCTGGCACTTGCAGATTGCAGATGCCCTTAGAAATGTTTGGAGGTGAAAGGAGCCAGTGACTTCCTCATTCACTACCAAACTGGCCCAGTAGATGAAACAGAATGAGATATCAGTCCCTAATCCCAGAGTAAAAAAAAATAATAAAATGGTTCTGTGAATGGCTCATTGTTAAAAGCACATGAAGTGTGTTCCTGTCTGCAAGGTAAGGGTCTGACGGATCCCTTTGGCAGCACTGCCTTTCTTGGTTTTGTTTCTGGGAGGGGGGAGGATTTTTGTTTGTTTGTTTTTGAAAGGGAAACCCTGTTTCCTGACAGTGATGGTGAAATTTCAGCGGTGACACTTTTACCTGTCCCCTTAATCCAGTGCAGCTCCTTGGCAGGGTCCTGTGGGCACTTCAGCTGCCTCTGTTCCCAGCTGTGGGAGCTGGTGCCACCCCTGGCGCTGGGGACTCGCACCTGAAGCCTGGGGGCTCCAGGGCTGCTCTGGTTGTTTTCCAAGGCCTCAGGGCTGGAATCCAGGTGGAGATGGTGAAAGTCTGCACTGACTAATGTTGTAGCTGAGGAGAGGAGTAGGACTCACCACCGTTTTGGCTACCGAAGCTGCAGTTTTTTAACCAGATGGAAAGCCCAGGAGTCCTCACTGTGCTGTGGCGTGTGCCCAAGAGAGCCTGGCCAAATGGGCACGGTGTTTTCAGCCAGTGGAACTTGCAAGAAGCTTTTAGAGGCTGCCCTTCATCTCTGCTTCTTTCTGCTCTCCTCTCTGCTTCTCTCTGAACTTTCCTCAGCTGGCAGGCTGTGCTTTGACCCTTTCCTCAGCTCTAGGACTGGGTTTTGACTCCCAGCTGTGGAACCCAGGTCTGCTCACTGTTCCTGAGGTGCCTTTGCTGGTGTTGTGGGGCTGCAGTGCCAGCTGTGGCTGGATGTGGTGACATGGGACTGACACTGCTCAGCAGCATTGCAGAGAACTGACCTCGTGGCTCCCCACCACCGCAGTCAGTCTTCCTTCTGCTTAAAATCTGTCACAACTCACAGCTTCTTCTTCCTCTATTAATTCCTACTTCTGACTCAGCAAAATTATTTGTCCACCTCCCATGCAGCTCATGGCTTCAGAACCAGTGTGCACACCACACTCCCACACTGGGAAAATGCACAATTCCCTGCACTGAGGCACTCAAGGCTACCAGATGTTTTCCTAAAGCAAGTTCTTTATTAGCTTTTGAGGGTGGGGCTTGGCTTTTTTCTTTTCCCCAAGTGAAAAGCTGAGAAAAAGCTTCAGCACTTTTTACGTTGAGAATTTCAAGGGGAAAAAAGCCTCCTGTCTGATGCCAAAGTTAAACTCTAATCACTGCTCAGCTCTCCTGGAATTTGGCAGCATACCAGTGCTCCTTCCCCTTGGTAGGTCACGTGGAAATACCGGAGCCTTTTCTTAAAGAACCTCTCAGCTCTTTTCAGGTACTTGCACAGATGTAACTTTCCTGTTAGGATTCTAATGCCTTTTACACTCTTGACAGCGTTAAAGCACCGTTCCTAATAAGCACCATTCAGATCTACAAAATTTTATGTTTGAGCATTAAAATACTTTTAAGTGTGTTTAAACTACATAAATGCACTTTAAAATCTGGTTTTAAATTGATATTCCACTTCTACTGGAATAGAATCACAGTTTTAATCTTGGAAATAGCACTTAAATGTGCTTAATGAAAAGAACCCAAAATTGGTTCACAAGTTTATGAGAGGTTGTAGGAACAGCTGAGATTGAGAGATGAAGGTCTCTTTGTTCAGTTTGTTCACTGAGAAAATTTAAGATTCTCTTTCAACTGCTTTTTACACCTAACTCACCAGCTGGTTTTAATTTATGATCAGTGTCCTGGAGATTCTTTCTGAGGGGGAGTTTTTAATTCTGTCAAAGCTGACCCAACTGTTCTGTAACAATCAGATCATTTAATTACATTGTCTATGAACAGCATACTTGGTTTTTTCCCCCAGTGCAGCTTCTTCCTTTTTTTCACTCTTCAGTCCCATTTTAGCTGGATGTGAAGTGATTAATTCCCTGATGTGATTAGCTCGATACCATGGTGGTGTCTTGAGTGCTGAGGAGTGACCCAGTTCCCTATTTTCCTGGTCCCCTGAGCAGGCACACACTGGAATGGCAGGCTGTGCTGGAAACTCGCACAGCCAAAGTTATCTGAGAGCGATCTGATCCGCGGGGATGAATGCAGTGACCTTTTTCCTGGATCACTCCTTCTATTTACATATTAAACGCAGACTTTTTTTTTTTTTTTCCCCTTCCCGTGCTGCAGAGCTGAAAAGGTGCCGTATCAGGCAAGAATGTGTGTAAAGGATTCCTTTGTTAAATGTTGGCAGCAGCCTCGGCCAGCCTTGCCAAGTCAGTCCAGCCCACCCACCCATCCAGGAGCACGGCAGGGATGCGAGCACAGCCTGGGCTGGGTGTGGGCTCTCCTGGCTGGGCTGTGCCCTGGGAGCTGGGACACTCAGGGGCTGGGACACTCAGCAGTGGGACACTCAGGGGCTGGGACACTCAGGGGCTGGGACACTCAGGAGGTGCCCTGGGAGCTGCGACACTCAGGAGTGGGACACTCAGGAGCTGGGACACTCAGGAGCTGGGACATCAGGAGTGGGACACTCAGGAGCTGGGACACTCAGGAGTGGGACACTCAGGAGGTGGGACACTCAGGAGCAGGGACACTCAGGAGTGGGACACTCAGGAGTGGGACACTCAGGAGCTGGGACACTCAGGGGCTGGGACATCAGGAGTGGGACACTCAGGGGCTGGGACATTCAGAAGGTGGGACACTCAGGAGCAGGGACACTCAGGAGCAGGGACACTCAGGAGCAGGGACACTCAGGAGTGGGACACTCAGGAGTGGGACACTCAGGGGCGGGACACTCAGGGGC